CCTCCAACCTAATAGCGATGGCCTATAACCAAATAGCGATGGGCTCCGACCCAATTGCGATGGTCTCCAACCCAATGGCGATGGCCTCGCCAATGGCAATGGCCTCCAACCCAACTCCATAATAGCAATGGCCTCCAACCAAATAGCGTTGGTCTCCAACCCAATGGCGATGGGGGATACCTATCAAAAAGCAAATGAATTCCTATCGATTACAATCAATTAAAAATGAAAAAATGATTCCTATCAAGAAGCATCAATTCGTATCAATCAAAAGAACCCCCTACTCCTTGGTCCTGGTCTGCTGGTTCTGTGGTCGGTTGGTCCTTTGGTCCCTTTGTCCTGGTCCCTTGCTCCCCGGTCCCTTGGTCGCTGGTCCCTTGGTCTTCTGGTCCCTTGGTCCTCTGGTCCCTTGGGTCTGGACTTTCGAGGAAAGACGCGTTCAAGGTGATTTGGAAATCTCCTGGTCGGCGCTGTAGCAGACCTTGTACCACCAGACGTAGCAGACCTTTTTTGTGAGCCACCTGAGGGGAAAATTTAGAACCATTCCAACGTTGCAGACCTTTTGTTAGCCTTGCGAGGTTAAAATTTAGAGGAAGAAGTTGCGACTCCAACGTAGCAGGCCGTTGTTTTGTGAGCAACCCGAGGGTAGAATTTTGTTGCTATTCCAACGTAGCAGGCCTTTTGTGAGCCACCCGGGGATAAACTTTAGGTGCCACGCCAAGGTAGCAGACCTTTTTAGGTGAGCAACATTTAGAGAAGCAGTAGACCTTTTGTGAGCCACGCGAGGGCAAAATTTACAGGAGCAGACCTGTTGTCAGCATAAACGTTAGAGGAGCAAGGTGCCATTGCAACATGGCAGATGTTTTGTGAGTCATCCACAGGTCTTGTGGTTTCGAGATTCAGAGAGGTCTTGAGATCCACTTACAGAAACCTAGAGGCCCAGTGGTTTGAAATTCAGAGAAATCACGGTTGAGATGCAGAGAGGTCTACATCTACAAAGATCCAAAGGCCTGGAGATCCAGACGGATCTGCAGGTGTAGAGGTCTAGAAACCCGCAAATCTAAAGATGGAGGTTTAGAGGTCTTGAGTCTTGAGATCCACGCAGGTCTTGAAATGTAGGTTCTAGGGGTCTAGACATGCAGGGAGTGTAGAAAGATGTTCCTTGTCAGAGGTCTTGAGATCCACAGAAATTTTGCGCACGCCATGCAATCTGCACTTCGAGTTTTGCAATCGCTGCGCCTGCCGCGAAGTCTGCGCTTTCAACAGAGGTTCACCCAGCGCCGCGCCTGCCACGCAATCTGCACTTCGAGGTTCACCCAGCGCCGCGCCCGCCACGCAATCTGCACTTCGAGGTTCACGACGTGCTGCGCCTGCCATGAAGTCTGCAGTTCCAGTGCACAAAGTGCTGCGCCTGCCACGAACCCAAAGTGCTGCGCCTGCCACGAATTCTGCAGTTCCAGTGCACAAAGTGCCGCTCCTGCCACGAAACCTGCTGCTCAAAGTGCTGCGCCTGCCACGAAATCTGCACTTCCAGTGCACAAAGTGCCGCTCCTGCCACGAAATCTGCTACTGGAGGTGCTCAAAGTGCTTCCCCTGCCACGAAATCTGCAGATTCACATCGCGCAGCGCTGCCAAGGTGGTTGGCAGTGGCAGGCGTAGCTCTTTGTGAAAGGATATTTATTTTGTTTTTGATACCAATCAATGTTCTTTTTGATAGCCCGGCCATCATACCGGCGATGGCCTCCAACCTAAAAACGCCGGGCTCCAACCAAATAGCAATGGCCTCCAAGCCAATGGCGATGGCCTCCAACCTAATGGCGATGGCCTCCAACCTAATAGCGATGGCCTCCAACCTAATAGCGTGGCCTCCAACCTAGTAGCGATGGCCTCCAACCTAGTAGCGATGGCCTCCAACCTAATAGCGATGGCCTCCAATAAAGTGGCGATGGCCTTCAACCTCATAGGGACCCAATAGCGATGGCCTCCAACCTAATAGCGATGGCCTCCAACCTAATAGCGATGGCCTCCAACCTAGTAGCGATGGCCTCCAACCTA